TAGTTTCTAGCAAAATGACTGTCTTCTAAAAGACATTAATAGTCCTGGCACTGGGTACTGGAACCCAGGTTTCCCTTCTCCCAGAAGAATGCCCTCTTCACTTCAACAGAAGGACACAGGAGCTCCCTGCCCAGCCTATCCATCTCCTAGTGTTTAGGACACTCTTAGAAAGTGGAGTACATGGGTTTGAAATCCCTAATGGACAAATACTTTTAACACTAGATTATTAGGTCGAGAAGATGGGCACAAGCTTTGCCATGTTCAAGAGTGACTACAGGGTTGTTGTGCTTTATACTGAAATCATTGCTACTGTCAGTTAGAAGTTGTGGTTCAATAGGGGTTCCAGTGTGAATGACATGGATCCCAGCATAATGGAAGTACCTTTCTTGTAATCCCAGGTCAGAAGAAAGAGCAACAGTTCTGATATTTCCTCCTGGCTAGCTGTAGGTATTTTCCTGTTGAGTGACTAAGTGATATGGATCACTCTTGAGAGGTGCTTAAGTCTCCCATTCAATGAGAAGAAGTCCATGGATTAGGATTTCCACTGCTCCATTCCAAACCACAGACAATGTTCCTAAATTTTAAATATTGTGATACATAAGTGAAGGCATATTTGAGGATTTAGGATCCTGCTCCTTAATCTCCTGGAAATTATTAGACTGCTAATGAAAATGAAATTATTAGACTGCTAATGAGCTTGAATGGTATCACACAAGTCCCATCAACTTTCAGTCATCTACATAACAAATACTCCTCCAACAATTAGGAATAGCTGCCATTCTCAATTCAAGAGAGAACCAGGAATGCAACATATGGAGAGATCATGGAGAGGTAAGCTTTGTTCTGAATCTATAGATGCATGGGAGAGTTTGCACTATACTTGGTTTAATGGCATATACTATATGATCTTACTCTTTTTGTGACAACCATTTTCAGATGACGTTCCAGAAATTTTATTACAGTTAACCTAAATATGTAATTAATTTATGCCGTTCCATATGTATCACATGCAAACATCAAGCAGTCATGAAATCAAGTACTCTATGTAGTGCTCATATAAAGCAACAGAATAGATGATTAATTTTTCTATATCTGGTACAAAGATGCAGTCCATCTCAGTGCACCAGTCTTTCCAAAATTGCCTCTATTTTTTTCCTACCAGTGTGTGTTTACCTACCCACTTTTCATCATCCAGCCAAGGAAAGGACAAGGCCACTTTAACCCAAATCTGTGGCTAAATCCCAAGCTTCTAGAAGCACTTCTAAAATCTGTGAAGTCCTATAAGATTCATAAGTGAGGAAATGAGTCCTTTGGCAAGGAGTGTCATCCTTGCTGACTCTCTTCCCAACAGGAAGATCTTCACTCTCGTCAAGATATTTCTCCGCACTTCTTCAACATGCTCAAGAAAGGCAAAAGAGAGAAAAAACATCGCAGAAAAACAGCTCAAAATCTTGCTAGATCCTCATTTCCGGCTGCCAGACCTACAGACTTCCCCAAAGATAAGAATTCTCCATTTCAGACCATGAAAGGATTAGATAGAAGAACAGGAAGAGTTTCTACTCACCCACTTCCAGAAATGAGTAAGAAGAAACTGGTGGCACTACTGAAATAATTAGCTTTGAAGATTGAACTTACTAAAACCGAAGACAAATGTTTTTCCTCAAAAGTGAGGCAGAATTTGCTATCTGCCAGCATCACTCCTTCACAGAAATCATAAAGAAGAGTATTGTGGGATACAGAGGTGTAGATTTATTTGACAAGTCTTAAACTATGGAGTCTCAAAGATTCTTTTCATCCTCCTAAAAGTCATGCAGAATGGCTCCCTAGTAAACAGCAATTTGAGAAAACAGCATGGTTGGGAAATCTCTAGGGAGATTTTCAAAGACTGCATAGACAGAGCTAGATAAAAATAGCTCTTCAGCAGTGACCCCTACAATAATAACCACTTGGTTAAATAATCAAAAGAGCTTCACATTTTTACTAAAAAAAAAAAGCCACTATCCATTTGTTGTGGATGGATTCCTGGACTCTATGAAGTTGGTAGTGAAAGTGGAAAATTCAATGCAATGGTGTCAGTCCTGTTTCAAGCCTTGGACAATTGATTATTTCACCAAGCCTCAGTTTCTAAATGGAATCTTGTTTCAGAAGAAAGAAACTTAAGATATTGTCCAATCAGCCCAGATCCTAACACATCCCCATTCCAGCAAATCCAAGAACTACAGGCACAGATGGAAGCTTCTTTTACTCCTAGCTAATACAAAGATCACACAGAAACATCTCTTTTTAGTAGGGGCATGTGAAGCAGGCTGTATTTGATTCAGATTCAGATTCAGCCTGATTTGGGGGACAGAGATTTAATTTGTTGATTTGGATCATTGTCCCAATTCGATTTGGGCAAATCCAAAGCTGAAGATTCGATTCTGATTTGGAGAATCAGCGATTCGGCCATAGATACAGGTTTATATGTTTTTTCTACATACCTTGAGGTACCAGGCGTGGCTCATGAACACTGCGACAGTGGGGCAGATGGAGCGTCCCACAGGAGCGTAGCGGGGCTCCCCGTGTGCTCGGCAACAGAACAGGAAGTGGACCAGAAGTACTTCTGGTCCACCTCTGGGTCCAATGCCGAGTACACAGGCCCCCCTCCTGCGCCCCCCCGGTTTGGTGATCAGCCACAGGGGGACCCTGGGTGCTCCCCCAGACCCAGGAGACACCAGTTGCCAAGCCACAGGGTGTGGGGGGGTCCCCTGCATGCTCTGCGGAAGACCCAGAAATAGACTGGAAGTGCTTCCATGAGATAGTCCATCTGCCCCACCATCTCAGCGTTCATGAGCTACCTGGTACCTTTAGGTATGTAGAAAAAACATATAAAGCTGTGCCTATGTCCGAAGCATCGAATCTCTCTGAATCAAATCGGAAGCTTCCAATTCAATTTGGAGAGATGAATAGGTCTTCTGATTTGATTCAGATTTGGAGATTTGGCTGCCGAATCAAGTCAGCAACCGAAGCTTCACACAGTCCTACTTTTTAGCCCACAGCTATGTCTTGAATCTGCAATATGAGATGGAAGCAGGCTAATTCCAGAGAGTTTAGGGGTTGGTTCTGTCTGCCTGGAAAAAAAACAAACTTTGCTCCATCAGGGAGTCCTGTAAAATCTATCAGAAGGCAAGGTAACCTGCTTCTCAGACAAGTGTCAAACTATCCTAAAGAAAATGACAGGGGAAACAGAAGTTGCCTCTCCAAACAAAAGATGTTTAGGCCTTTCTTCTCCATCTTCCAAGCTAGAAAAAAGATTATGAGAAAGTCTAGCCCATCTCAGACCTCAGAACACTGCTTTGGATAGTGCAGGTTCTCTAGTCAACCTACTAACATTGGTAGAGCTGACTAACGATTATTTGCACAGTGCATGCAACCCCTATTGCCCCCAGCGTCTTTAGTTCATCAGTGTAAATCACCACTATCGGCACAAAATGTACCTTTCCAAACCATAAGTCTTGACATCCATTCTATCACATACATGACCTTTGGTAGGAAGGCAATCCAAGCACTGACCATAAAATAAATAATTACTGATTTTAGGAATGAAGAAACATATGGTCTTCTGTCTTATCTCACCTAATCCACCAGTCTTCTTTCTCCTTCTTTCTACCTCTTTCTTGGTAGTATGTCTTGGGCTGTGACCCAGAATGAACAGCTTACTCGATTTATTTTCAGGGACTTTCCTTTCCCCTAGTTTACCCCTTCTGAGAGAAGTTTTTGGTGTAGTCTTGCAAATGGCCTGTTCACAGGCCTTGTATAAGAATAACACTAGTGTTGGTTAGATGGTTCTGAAAAGAGCGAGGGGTTTGGTTGAGAAAATGTCTATGCCTGAAAATAATTTAAAGCAGAAAAAAATAGCCTGAAAGCTTCATGAAAAGTATTCTCTCTGTCTCTCATTAGTTTGTTAGCAAAACTTTGATTGAAACATCTAAAAGAATAAAATGGTTATGAAAATCTTTTACAAACCAAGAAAAAATTCATTTGAATAATGATTTTTTTATTAAAAAACATTTAAATCTGGGAGGACAATCACAATTGAAGTATAAAACCAAAACACATTAGCCTACAGTTCATTTATCTTTATGAAGTACAAGCCTAGAGTGGACATTAAAGGAAAAGTGTGTGTGTGTACACACATGCACATCTGTGTATAATAGTCTAAAGTAAAGCTGTTAAACATATGACCCACAGGCTGGATCTGGCCCATGTAGCTGGGTCAGCTAACCTGTAGGACTTCTCATAAGAAGAATCACCAGTCTTCATGGGCTGGATTTGGCCCCTGGGGTTCACTGTCACAGCTGCCAGAATCTCTTCAGCAATGATGTTAATCCCATTGTTTCAGTGCAGTTCCAAAACCCAGGGTGTTAACATTACTCACCTCCCCTAGCCACTCACCAGCTACCAAAGAGGCTCTGCCATGATTTTTAGTGTCCCCTGCTGACTAAGGTTGGTAGCAGGAGATAAGGGGGAACAAGCACTAGCAGTATTTATTCCCTGGGTTCCAGAGCTGTGCAGAAAAAGTATCTCTGGCAGCTGTGGAGATTAATACTGTCACCACTGCTCACAGGTTGTTCAGCCTGCAGATAGCCCCTCAGTACAGATCTGGTCTGTGGAGCCCAGTGAGTTTTACACCCCAGCTCTAAAGCCACTAAACAGAATGAAAGTCCCACTGCTTAATATACAAGGCCAGACCCTCAATTACTGTAGACTAAAGATCCACTGACTGATAGTCTAGCCTATGGCAGATTAACAAACTGAAATAAAGCAAAGCTAGGCCAATAAAAGTCTGGTATTTTTCACTGACTAGTAATGCACAATTTTCAAATCCAAATAGATTTGGTTTCTTCCAGTAAAAATATACCTAATTTATAAAACCAATACCTTCCAAAGTTTTCCATGAAAAATGAGAGATAAGAGCCCAACCCGAATAGCCAATGGTATGATAGTATTCCTATGGCATGTAGAAGACCTAAGTTCAAGTTCGTGCTCTGCCACTTTCCCACCTCTTAGTAGAGGGGCCTAAACTTGCCTATTCTGAGATGTCGCTCTTGCATTCTCTTCTGTTGGAACTGCTCCATCTTGTGTAAATACATATAGAGTCATAGATTCAAATTGGGATTTGAATGTGAGAGTGGGAAGATACATGCATCATAAAGGAGGGAAAATTAGGGGGCAAAGCCTTGAGAATGTTGTCACGTCTCCAGCTCACCAACTTATACCTTTCCCAGTTTTCCAGTTATTCAACATCAGCATCATTACCATCTAAGTCATGTAGCTCACTTGAGATGTGGATTTCAACTGTGCTATCATCAGAACCTAGCAAACAAAAGAGAAAGGACTCTGTTACATTTATAGATATAGGTAGATGGAAATTGTTTGATTTTGATTCAGTCATTTAAATAATTTGTCAGACTAGACAGTAGATCTATATGAGGAAGGAATCCTTGCACACAATGTTTCAAAAGCTAGAGCTTTTTGGCCAGATTTATGCATTCAGAGTGTGTGGGGACCAGGAATTGTTAAGAGCTACCCTGCTTCTTGTTGTCGTCAGTCTGATTACATTCCTAGTGAATGGCTGATTGCAAGATGGCAGTAGGGGAGCTTGGTTGTTAAATATAAAGTACTTAATGTAGTTTAGGAGCCTCAGGAAATAATTTCTGGTGCCTTGAACAAGGCTGTGTGTTAAAAGAAGAAGAATGCAGATTGTCCTATCACATGTGGGCACATGACTGGGAGGTGGGGTGGGGAGAGTCCATGATATTTTCACAGGAAATGTAGAACTTCATTGACCACTGTAGCCTGAAGGGGAATAGCAAGTTTTGCAAAAGAAAGCTCACACTAGAGATGGACTAGATGAAGTCAAAGGGCAGCTGGTTGCTGTTGCATTCTTCTAGCCAAAGTAAGGGTCTGTCAGAGTTTTAGTATTGTTATTAGATCTAGTTCTTTTAGTGAGAGAGAATGACTGGGCAAGAAGACTACATCCACTGAAGCTGTTACAGAATCCAATCCTTATGTTTCATAAACAAAACAACTGCCCAGTCAAGGCTTAAATGCTATCTTAAAAAAAAAAAAAAAAAGGAGGGGAGGAAGGAGTTTCTTGTACACATTTTCCTAGTTTCTCAGAAATATTATGGCCATGTTGCAAAGGGGTGGGAGGGGCGGAGATACGGGACATTACAGCATTTCAAAGCTCAAGATGATCACATGGTTGTACTACAATCTAGTGAACATTCCAACTGAGCAATCTTAAATATGTCTTTTTGTGGCTTAGAATTATTCTTCTGCATACCTTTATTGTCATCTGCACCTGGAGGTTGTCTAAAACATAACATGTGTTCCACATTGTAACAAGTGGGCCATCCCAGGGCCAGTCCAAATGTTGGCCACCCATTTGTCTGGAGCAGGTGGGTGGACTGCCTCACCTGGCATACCTTTAATGTAACTTAAGTTGCTCCCAGGTAGGATCTCCAGCTGAGCAATGTGTTGTTGCTTCATCCCCCTGCAGCAACTGCCAGCTGTGCTCTTGGGGCCTGGCCTTATACCCAGGCTCCCAGCCTCTCCACCAATCAAGTGGACTCCTGACTACCGTGTGACTGCCTGATTGGGTCTGCTCCCACCTTCAGGCTGCTTGCTGCCTGCTCAGACCCCTTAAAGTGGCAGGCACAACCTGTGCTCTGCCACACACATCTATAAGTTAGGCATTGTATCAATTTCACCCTTATGGAAATCACAGTTTCAGAAATTATTTATTTTGTAGTAAGGGGGTCAGAGTTCATAGGATCATAGGAAAGTACAGATGGAAGGAACCTAATGAGGTAATCTAGTCCAGCCACCTGATCAAGACAGGATCGTCCCTTACTAAACCATACCAGCATGCTTAACCTACTGTTGAAAACTTCCAAGGATGGTGATTCCTCAGTCTCTCTAAGTAGCCCATCCCAATGTTCACCACTCTCATAATCAGCAAGTTCCTTCTAATCTCCAACCTAAACTTCCCCTGCTGAAACTTGAGTCCATTGCTCCTAGTCCTGTCCCATACCATCATGGAGAAAATCCCATCTCTATCCTCTATGTAACTGACCTTCAGGTATTTGAAGACTGTTATCAAATCTCCCCTCATTCTTCTCTTCTTCAGCCTAAATAACCCTTTCAGTCTTTCCTCATAAGTCTTGCCCTCAAGGCCCCTAATCATTTTTGTTGCTCGGCACTGGACAGTTTCCAAAGCACCCATACCCTTCTATTCCCATTCTAAAAAAATCTGTTTCCTCACTCTAAACAAATAACTTCCTTTCCAAGAAATAAAGTTCTCCTCTTTAAATATTTTTTCATGGTTGGCATTTTTACTTCAGCCTGCAGCTCTGAGACCTCTTTAGAGCTCATACTCCATTCCATTAATCCAGTGGTTCTCAACATTGTTAGACTCAAAGTATTCTGTGGAAAATTCCATCTCTTATCTTTGACTTGATTCTTGACTACAGAAAAATAATAGAGCAATTCTTATATTGTGAAGATCTCAGTAGGATGACAACAGGTTAAAATGTTTTTGATACTGTGGATTCTTATTCATTTTGACATCCCCAATTTTATCTTGTGAATCCTGTGTAGCTGCTCTTGTGCCTAATATTATGCAGTACCACTAAAAAGATCACATGGCAGTCAAGGGTGCCACAGCGCTCAGGTTGAGAATTGGCATCTTAATCCAAAGAACTTTACAAAGGTGTTAATTTTCCATAGTTAAATGTTGTTCCTGTTTCCAGCATAATTTACATCAGGGGTCGGCAACGTTTTTGGGCAGAATGCCAAAAACACCCACAACTTTGACTTGTAAGATATTGGCATGCCAGGGACAGACGGCAGAGGGGCCACGAGGGGCCTAATTTTTGTTGTGGCAATGCAGCCCTCGCCCCTTCCCCACTGCCTGCCCTGAGGCGCATATGCACCTGCCATCAGTGACAAGCCAGAGTGAAGCTCTGCGGACACCGGTGCAGCCACTTGCATCATCCCAGCTGCCTGCCATACCCAGTTCAGGCTCTAGGAAGGCCTCTGCTGCCTGCCATGGAACCCAGACAGCTTTCAGCAGGTTGCAGGGCTGCTGCAGGCAGTTGCGCTAGGGTCTGGAGAGCCCTGGCCTGGCTTGTTGCTGGCAGCAGGTGGACGGTGCACATACACCTCAAGGTGGACAGTGTGGAAAGAGCCAGGGCTTCACTGCCACAACAAGGATCAGGCCCCTCATGGCTCTCCCATCATCCAGCCTGAAATGTGAGTGCCAAGCAAAATGCTTTTGCATGTCACACTCTGGCAAACATGCCATGGGTTGCCTACCCATTTTACATCTTCTAAAAATGTCCTACTACAGCATTGCAGGATATTAGGCATCAATCCAGTGGCACTTGAATTCAATATAGCATCTTCACCTCTCATTCTAACTACATTCTTCTTATATCTCTATAGAATGGCAGTTGGACCTGGTCTTGCTGGAGGCAGGGCCACATTAAAACAGCCAAATCACAAGCTGGCTATACATGCATAAAAAAGAAAATACCTCCAAGAAAGTGTTATGATCGCATAATCACTTTAATTAATGCCTAAATAACTTTGTTTCTTTGTATTAGCCTCCTGCTGCCACTGCACTTGTCTCTGTGGCAGCACAAGGAGATCACCTATGGCCAAGTCCCCTCTCCACTGAACACTGCTGAAGCCTCAGGTCTGTGGGCTGGATCCAAATATTTTGCAGGCTGGATCTGGCCTGCAGAACAGCGGTAAATTGCTAATCCCTGCATAAGCCCACATGAAGTTCAGGACACATCATGAATTAAGAAGACCCAACAAATTAGTTTTGTTTCATTGTCTATTGACCTGCTCCCAAAGGATAAGTACAGAATAAACAACTTCCTCCCTAAAACACACACCTGAATATCTCCAAAAAGTTCAAATCAGGACCTAGATCTTTGTTTTTTAGCCTGTGTCCATTGCTACCTTTAAGGGATAAATGTTTTCATGTTAATTGGAAACTTGCTTTTCTGGTTCTTACTGGGTTTCCATTACTTTTTTTTTTTTCTACCAAGTTTCACATGGCCCTGTCCCAGTGTGTTTTGGTGATGTCATACATTCCATCTGCCTTTGAACCTGCAAATGATGCTCTCAGATGTGAAATATCTTCTAAGGGGCTTTGTTTGAACAGCAAAAGAAAAATGCCCTAACATTTGTTGTGCCCTTCTTACAGTTGATCTTCTGTGTCAGCTTATAAAACAACATCTCGTTACAATAGCATATCTAAGCACGCAGGGGGCATGGCCGGGATTTAGGTTAGAAAAACATTCTAAACCATGGGGTTGCTGTGGGTCTTGAGGTTGTCACAGTGTTTATCTTTCTAGTTAGGAGACTCTGATCTTCCCAGGAGTCTTTCCAGCCTCTGCAGTGCCAGCATGTTAGGTATTTGGGGGAGGTCAGGGAGACAACCAACTTAAGGTAGTTTCACAGCAGAGAATATTTTGGTTTGTTTTTGGTTTCAGTCAGTGAATTTTCACAATCCTGAGAGCTTCTTCAGGAGAAGTCTTTGAAAATGTGAAACCATACACTGTCCCATGCACGCAACTCTCCCTGGTTGTTTACACAGAAATGTTTGGGATCAGTATCAGGGTTGGGCCAATCCCCATATTTGGGGTCAGGAAAGAATTTTACTACATGGCCAGGTTGATATGGACTGTAGGGGCCTTTGCCTTCCTCTGTAGGAGGAGGGCATAGCCCTCTACCAGGGATCTCCTGAGCATATATGACAACCTTTTAGACAGATAACCTGTGGCAGGTTAGGGTGTTATGTCTTGTGTTGTGTCAGGGTTGATGGTAGCTTTACTAAGAGGTTAGATTATGGATTAGTGTAGCATGATTTGGATAGAGGTGATCCTGCCTTAGACTGGGGATTGGGCTAGATGATCTGAGGAGGTCCCTTCCAGTCCTATTCTCTGTGATTCTATGATCCAGTGAGGAAGGAGGGGGCACCACTCTTGGGTTGTGGGGAAGTGGGAACATTAATAAGGAGGCAAAAAGAGAATCATATGTATTGATGGCTTTGACAGATTCCAATATTTTGTTTTTAGCAAGGTCAGTACTTCCCTATCAATCTATACCAGTGGTTCTCAGCCTTTTTGGACTCAAAGCAACTCTTGTTTTGACTTCTATGAATCGAGTTTCACCCCATTTAAAAAACTGATGTATATATTATAGTGCTTTCCTCCTTGCAGAGGGGCTGAGCAGTAGGGATGATGGATCATCTAGGCAGAGACAAGCCTGAGTCTGCACTTATCTCCTTACACCTT